GCATCAGAACCTCATCTGGAAGTCAGTATGACTTCGTTGGTCCTATACTCATATTCCTCTCTAATCCCCCCTAAGACGGCATTAATTCGAAAAACTGACGCCCAGCAGTCGAGCGTGACCCCTGGCTGTGGATTAATCTAGACGTTTAACACGAGACCAAGGGTTGGTTCGTTGAAGGCAACAGGGACTCTTACTGTGCCGCAAGCGTACGGCCAACTTGTGCGTCATCTGGATTACAGTAGGGGATAGTTCCGTGCCATTGTGGTTAATCTCTCACCACACCCATTTATTTGCCACCCAGCGTGGTGTGGTTGGGGACGCATGACTACTTACACATGATGCGAGGCATTCTAGGAGGCATAATCGACGGTTAGTTGAAGAATAACCCCTGATGCTATAAATGAAATAAGTCAGCAGTTAAGGATTCTGCTGCTTGTGTAACCGGACCATCCCAGAAAACGGCTGCGCAGGACCACCTATACTGCTTCAGCGGATGTCGTGAGTGTGAGTGAAAGCGGTCGGCATCAACCAGGGTTCAGCCAGCGCTTCTAACGACCGCTCACTCATAACAAACCATGACCCGGCCGGTGGCTTAATGGTTGACGGTTGAAGCCAACGAGCGAAACCATGCCCAATGCTTACACAAATTAGATGAGTATGGGCGAGGGGATAATTTAGATTATGATTGCCCCCAATCTGCCTGAAGGACAGCTTGTGAACGTTTAGAGATCTGAAGAATAATTAGTTAGCATCTGCATATAATGAAGCAGATGTCTGTCGGGTACAACTATAACAAGTCACTGGTAGACGTGGCGACAAATTCACCGGTAAAGGAGAATGAATTCATCCGCGCACCTGCTCTACAACTTGCCCGGTCCTCGGTAGCGAAGTTGCGATGCGAAAGCTGATCAAAGGGAGGGAGCCAGCCGGACTGCTGTAGAGCCTCATGCGCGGCGACAATGCCGAGCATACTCGTCCTTGACATGGCCTGTCGATCGAGCTGTCTTTCAAGACCTCTCAGAGATGCTTGTTGCTCCACAATACGACTCACTGTCTGCTCTAGCACGCCTGGAGGAAGCGTGCCAGCGACGCGACATGGACCAAGGAGATCTTCACCTGAAGGTAGCACACGCGTCATCTTTGATTTTTAAAAGAATGGGTACCTGTCAAGCGCAAGAAAAGTTCCAGGCGGTACGTGCATTACCTGTTAGCCCGCGAATACCGCACTCATTTTTGAGAAGGCGTGTCCAATTGCTTTGCACACCAATTCCCAGGCATGTGACCAATCCCAGCCCAGTGACAACAACCCTTCGAGAATGACGTATAGCCATCAGGGTTGGGAACTTAGGAGACAATTTGCTCAAGCAGTTTGACACGTATGATAATGCTTAAAGGTGAAAGAGGCAAGGCTTAAAGTAAAATCAAGTTAATTACGGCACATCTGCAGGTTAAAAGACGAAGAGATGAATAAAGTGCCCGGTGAACCATATCAGGATGATGAGCTGTCACCAGAAGGCTAAAAGCAGTCTGAGTCATAGTGGCGGAGCTCTAAATGCTAGTTGGCCGGCAATTATCTACCGTCAGTCACTTTCTTAAGGACCTATATGTGACCCGTCGCACGTCAGCTCTCTGAGTCGATAGGCGCCTGGGAGAGGGAAGAGTGAGGCCAACTATGAGGACTCCATTCCTACGAAACTTGAGCGCATCCGTCATTATAATAAATCTAACGCACTAAACGTTGTGTTGCTTAGACGTTTCCAACCGACTATACAAATTAATGCCCGAAGTTAGCGGTATGCGCGTGGAGTGACTGACCGATGAACTGAGTTCTATCTAATTACCCCTTCTTGACATACCCTTAAACGCGATCTCAGGATGCCAAAACCTGGTGTTGCGTGTGGCACGCGTATGCGGGTTGTTCCAATCTGTCAGTCACTTGCCCCCAATCGCCGCATCAGAGACCTTTCCAGCTCCGCCTGGGATGGGGAAATGAGAGTGAGGTCGACTCTGGGGGCCCCCGTTCCCCATGGCACTTCAACGTATGCTCCTGGCCGCAAGTAGTCTGAGGCGCCTTTAAATCATCACGGTGCGCTTAAAACCATGGTCAGAGAATTTGTCAACTGACGGAATAATTCGACACTGGGGAAGGAGAGTCTGGCTGTAATCGTGCCATAATGTAGGCTCTATGGCATTCCCGCTCAGTTGGGATTCGGGCCGCCTCCCTTGTTCCCTGTGAAACCCTGGTCCATCGTGTGCGGACCAGGAGTGTAGCACGCGCAGACGGGCTGTTTAACTTCGTCAGCCACTGCACCTGATCTCGCCTCTGGCCTTCTTGACTGTTTTGACAAGGGGCTCAGGTGGGTGCGGCAGAAGTTGCGCAAGTATGCTATCACTGTAAACTAATTCACGCGCAAGTCACCCCTTCCCCTCCCCTGCGTTCATCTTGCTGTGGCGCATACGGTGAACATACTTGTTCACAACGGTCGAACTGTCAAGGATCGGGCGACTGTACCGGGTCATTTCTTTCACATGGTTGCTAGCTCCCGTTACGGTCTACAGTACTGACGCCGCCAACCTCGCGGTGGAGGGGACGGAGGACGGTCGACGAGTAAACGACCGAAGCAAACTGCCTTGCTGGAGGATTTTCCCGAATAGAGTCACAGATGAGAGCTGTGCGGACCTCTCGGTCTACAGCAACATCCGCTACTTGGCTGCAACAACAGCTTAGGCATGGGTACCCTAAGGCCTCCATCGACGGACATCTAGAACCACATGTGAGAGTGGTATGGTCGCAGGGGCAGCATTTGATGAAAAATCTAGTATTAATTAGACTAAATACATACGAATGACATATACGTTTCGGCCACAAACAAATCAGGTGCTTAAAACCTAGATTGCCTCCAGCTAGCAATATTACTTGCGACCAAGATGGTTGAGCTATGGTCCAACAGCTAAGATGTCCATCAGAATTCAATGATGAACGGCCACACCGTTTTGACGGATCAGAATTGTGCCAATTCAGCAAGCGTGTGATTTGCTAACCTACTTCCTCTTCTGGCAGGAAAGGGGTCCTTACTATTCTTTAAAACAGAAACGACCTCCACATTGCGCCAGTTCGCCAGTTTAAGTCCAAATCGCAAGAAACGCGTAGTATGGTTAGAACTACATACTCGGAACATCACCTTCTCACCAACACCACTGGAAAGATGAATACAGCACGAGAAGAACTGTGTCTTATAAGTCAACTCGAAATCAATTGAATCAGTCGAATGCTAGTTTGGGATTTGAGTAGCGGCCGGGATAGTGCCGTCGCTACATAGGGATACAGTGATATAGGCTACGTCGGAGAGTCGTAATTTTAGGACGTCAAAATATCTGTAAAAAGAGACATCGCGGGCGATAGTTAATTGCAGGAGTTCAAACTTGTGGACATCAAGACATGGTGTAACCCGAAGGCGTCACCAGTTGGGCGCCACGTATCAACCGATCAACACATCATGGGTTAAGAAGCTAGGAGCTGGCTACACCATAATAAACCTGACTGGCTACGGGTCCACTATCAGAATACATTGTCAACATATGTTCGTGGTGGTGATGGGAACCCTTGTTCATAAACAGCTGGTTCCTGCCAGCGAAGCTCGTCAGCCTTTCCCGATCGTCGAACCGACAACCAAGTCCATGGCAACAAAGTAGATGGTTGTTTCACGAGCTGTCCGGGCCAGTCCGGTCATTTCTATCGCCGGCAACAGTCAGGATATCAAAGAGAGTGGCAGCTGGACTCTACAGCTGCTAGTAAAGGGTATCTTTACTGTCCGTTGGCAGTTGGTTTGCGGAAGACTAGAACGGCGAGCATGTTGGTAAAGTTTCAATTCAGCAATACGTGTGACAGCCAATAACAAACTCTCTTCCATCATACAATATTTTATTCATTCGTTTGGAAGAGGACATCAAGCCGTGTCCGTGAAGACTGTCGTTAAGATAGCTGCAATAAATGGAAGAAAGGTAATTTGTCCGGTGAATCTAGCTCCTGAGGACTGAAATCCGGGATTAGAACTTCTGAGAGGTGGCAGGCATCCACAACATATTGGTGAAAACTGAACACCTCCAGCCCCTAGAAACCATAGTCGACAAATTCGCAGATCAAACATCCGATAATTTAATCCCGCTGAATAGTTCAGTCTACCTACTATTCACTCGAATCATCGGACTGGGGCTGAGGAATGTGTCAATTGTTGCAGATGCCACAGCACAGACCATAACAGTATGTTCAGACACTGGTTTCTCAAAGTTCATTCGTAATGTTTGATGCACAGAGGTCCAAGACGCCAGTCGGTTTGTGCGAAACAACTGACTCGCCCTTTAGGAGATGGCGTCGGGAGATCAGGTTGAGGTGCCTGAGTAAATGCTTGGCGGCAGGGAAGTCGCACATTCGGACGAAAGGGAGCTTGCGAAATCGTTTCAAAGTTCATTTTGCAGGACTAGGATGAGTCCTCGACTGAGGGGATTGAAGCGACCCAAGTGTCTTATTTATTGCTACCAACACAAGAAGAGAGGTTCTGCAAACGATGACAGTATCGACGTCTCAATCATAATGCTGCTAAAATCTGTTAAATAAGCAACGATCGAAAATATTAAGCGTGCTTTCCTGTCAAAACATAAAATTGCCTAATTCCGCTATTAAAGAAAGCAGGCATCACGGGTTGCACTTGAGCATCGGCCATAAAAGGCATTTCTCTGTAAGAGTTAAAAAGTAGGTTACTGATAAGAGGAAGAATGTGTACAACTTGTTCGGAGAGGTTGCTAATAGAAGATAACATTAGGACGGTCTTTGATGGGTTGCTATTTAAAGGGGTCTGGGTGCAATAATGACAAGGGATAGGTCGACAAACCCCTACATGGGGATAAACATTTACAAAGATGGGTGTAAATCGAAACTGCCGTAGAAAGTCAACACGAGACGTAGTATGAAAGTCCTTAACCGCATATGCTAAAGAGGGCCGTTAGTCCACTTTCTCCTCCACGATCTGCTTTATCTGTTCCTCTTTGTAGGCAGCCCATATTACGCATATAAGAACAGCGTGAACGGCCAAAACGGCAATGACGGCCGACCATACGTACGTCGAGTTGTCCGCGAAGTGAAACGTATCTAGGAATGGCAGAAGTAAAAAGTGGGGTGGACGACGAAACTCACTTCTAAGGACTTGTTTAGCGGCGAAGTAAGAAAATATCGGTATCACAAGCATACAGACCATGGAAATTAGAAGTGTACGAGGAGTTTTGTAGGTGGTCGAAATCATTCCTCTAAAACGAAAAGAGATCTAACAGATAAACACGAAAAGGCCGTCACCAAGAGTCTAAAATGTGTTACAAAGCTAGTATAGGATTATAGAGCGGTCTCACATTGGTATGGGTAAAGAAAGAAGAAAGGTTTGACTTTTTACTACTATGCATTTCGGGGACTTAGGAATACCCGCCTTGCCCTCCTGTGCAGCTGCGGAGAACACGGTGCGTCAAGAAGGGGTACGGTCAGACGCCACTCCTATAGCTACGACGACTGTCAATTAAACGACTGTAAACCCGTCGACTGAGGCCATGCGGCGCAAGACCGTCAGTGAGGGATGGATGACTGTTGTTAATGTCAGGTTTCAGCATTTTAAAATATAACTGTTGGCTAGGTGGTCGGAATCTGAAGTGACTATCCCATAAATGGATTACAGTTTGCGAGAGAACGGTTGGTAAATGACCTTAACTGCCGCCTAATGTGAGAAGCCCGAGCAGAGAGCAAACATATTTCAAGCCACAAACCAGTTGTGGTCGGGTGGTACGGCGATGTCAAACGCGTCACCATCCAAAGAACTGCGTGTCCACGAGCTTCTATGAGGTCAGAATAATCGGTCACTACCAAAAAGAGCAGTGAGATCCATTTCTTTGTCATAATATCGAAACAAACAGGTGTCCTTCGTTGACAAGGAATAAAGGCAATCCAAGAGCTCTACCGTTAAAACCCTGGTTACTTACCTAAACCACAGTTAGCATTGGTCAAAGACAACACCGGTCAAAATTATTCGTATGGTCAGTAAGGTATAATTCCTCCTAACATCAAAATTGCGCCAGGAGACTGGAGTCCAGTGGCTAGTAATGGTCTCCTAACTATCTGCCACGTCCACACAGGACGACGATATTAGCTGATTTTCTGGCCATGATGGAGCTAATAGGATGGTCGAGGCCAACGCAAGCATTCAAAAAGCACTAGTTAATTTGGTATTAAAGCAGCAGGAGGACCCTTCTTTGGACTGACATCATTGTGGACAAGCATCGGACAAGCGCATTCCTCGAACTTCGTCCAATGTGTTGGTATAACAGAGAAGAAACATAATTTGGGTCCAATGTTCGAAACGCGAATGCGCCTGCGTATCCTGGCGCCCATGAAAGTTAATCCATTCCAAAAGCTCGATGCTCACAGAAATTGATCAAGGAAATCATCAAATACTTTCACACGGACTCTTTATCGGACGGCCGTGACGTTAAGTCGTACGATGGGAGTGAGGGGTAAGTCCGATTGAAAAAAGCTATTCCTAGGGCTTTACTGCAGGAACGAAATAAAGGGTTGGACATCAGATAATGATGGTTCGACCACCGCAGGCAACGACGTTTGTCACGCGTCCCATGCGGTGGGCATAGGAGGATGACTCGCGTGGGGATTAGTCTGTAGTTTGGCGGACCTGCGCAGCACCTACCGCACTCTTTCCTCCCCCACCCATTCGCTCTTATGGCAAGACGATCAAAAGTGGACTCTAGCGCAGTAGTTCATGAAGCTAGACGGTCCATATACGCATGCCACGCGCACGGTCTGGGCCCCGCAACGTGTGCTCGACCTCCGGGAGGAAGCCCGTAACCCACATCATTGAGAATGCCATAGAGGTCACGCTAAGAAGCCGCCGCAGTCTGGCTGAGGCGAGAGTTATCTCTTTAATGGGAAGGCTTCCAAACCACAACTGTTAGTGCGTCTTGATAGGCTCGGGTGCGTCAAAGTTATTATAGTGAGGAATGCGCTGGTGTCCTTAGAATGTAGTCCCTAGTGCCGGCTCAACTCTTTCCTTTCCCATGTACTAATCGACCGTCCGAGTCTGTCAGTCAGCTAGTGGTGGGACTAAGCGCAGTGGCCGACTCCGCATGAAGGCCTACGTCTAGGCGTGCCAGCGCACCCCTTCACATGTACGACTGCAGTTAGGAGATCGCACGGACTCTACACTGTCTTACTAACACGTGCCGTAGGCCAAGCTGACTCCTGCTTGGGTTCAGTGTGTCTGCAGTACAGTGCACGGACAACATTTTTGGTAGCACTTGTCAGCTTGTAGGCGATGTACAGCGAGGTCGGATAGCCGAAAACCCTAACTTGATTGCATCGTATCGTCAGACGGCACGGAAGTTGGGACGGCCGAAACCGAAACTAACAAAACACTGCGTCAGAACTGGGCCGTAGTTCCGCTGTTGGCGACAAAAAAGCTCCATCAGTTATTTTAGCATTCACTGGTGCACAATTTGGTGGTTGTTGGAGCTGGTAAACCGAAGGTCGACCCATCTCTTATTTCAAGACATGCGTAATTGTTGCGCTGGTGTGAGTACTTTGCAGAATCGTCCAAGTTACCTCTGGATGTGTAGACGTGACCCTCGCCGCCACAAAGCACCTCTGATACGGACATTCGAGTGGCTATCCGGCGTTTTCAGAATGACAGGAATAAAGTTTATGAAAACTTTTTTACGCAAGTTCTGAAAGTCTTAGGATCTTTTAGAGAGAATGGTAAAACGAATCTGCTATCCTGGAGCGAAGCAATGACGTTCTGTCTCCCTTCTTAAAGAAAGGAGGCAGGGCGAAATGCCGAAAATACAAAGAAATCAGGTTATTAAACGTCGCAGCGAAGATCCTTGCGAATATTCTACAGAAACACTACTGCTCTCCACGTGAACAAAGGCAGGGAAAGGCCCAAGGAGATTTCGCCTTCGCAGATGCTACCGACCAGATATTCGTGATGAGAGAAGCACGACAACGGCAATATCGTTATCAGCGGAAGACAAATGCCTGCCTCCCTGATTTTACCGCAACGTCCGACTCATTTAACCAGTGCTCTTTGAAAAGTCATGAAGGCTGATGCTGGCCTCGTAACTCGGTGAAAGTAGCCGAGAGAGAATATCCATTTATGCACACTTAATTTGAACCCTATGGTAGAAAGGGAACGCTGGAGCCCGGAAAGGTTGGGTGGCAGGTGTGGCCAGATCTAACGGGTGACGTCAAAGGCCTCAATGACGCATGAACGCACCAAATGCGCGCTTCGGTTTCAGTCGGCTCGGTCGGACGACATTCTGCCTACGCCTCTAACATGCGCTGCTATTCGCTCTTTTCGCTCAAGTCTATCACTCTTATGGGAAAGAGCGCTGCACGCCTGCAAACCAATCGATTCACGGGTTCGATTCTGGTGAGACAATTCAAACTCGAATCCTGATGCCTTCACGAACGAAGGCGAAAGTTCGAGTCCTAGGTGTATGTATAAGTGAGGAAGGCTGGTGCCTTGTTATTAGGGAGGGGCGGCATGACGTCGGACGTACGATATGACGGCTTGGTACGAAAAAAATCGATCCCAGAATCTTGGATCTAATAGTCGTACATTTTATGAAATGCACAGAACACAGCAATGTTAACAGTCGGTCAATTCTTATTAAATAACGCGGTCCTAATAGCAAGCTAGCTCGCAGCGAGCTCGTGCGTGTGTTGTAGCTAGGACGGTAGTAAGCACACGAGATGGAGAGGATGAACAAATATGGATGTAAGAGTCAGAACGAGAATACCTTATAACAGGGCTTTATTCATCTTACACCTGACGTACTGGGACAAAAACGAGAAATAGGAAAGTAGTAGATAAGATGGAATTTAGCCAGGGGCGTATGTCAGCATGACAGTATGCAAGGGGTAGCGAGGCTTCAGTGAGCTCGTGAGTTGACTGGTTGTCAGGTCCGCTTCGTTGGCCTTGCGAGGGGCGCAAGCGATCGCGTGCATTTGCACTTGCTTATCGATTGGCTCTGGTGCTAGATTGTACCCACGCTCTCCCTGGCGCCACTTCCTGCTCTCTCTCTCTCTCTCTCTCTCTCTGTCACGTTGGAGTGCGCACTCCATGCCTAATCGCCCCCTTTTTGCCTAACGGTTGTTTTTCGCCTTTTAGTTATAAGTATGTTGGATTGTGTTAGCAGTCGGAATCGCCGACGTCACGCACGTAGGGAAACACAAAAATAATACGAAGGATCAAAGAAAAGGTGAGGGAAATGTCGTCGTCGGACACATCATCTTTGAGTTCGTTAGACAGCTTCACTTACGATTCTGATCCCCCAACTACTTATGATGACGACAGCTCTTCTACTGTTGACTCCCCTCATGTCTCTACGTACGAAAATGGTCAGTCAACGGCGAATGTACCGGAAAAGGAGTCGGGAGTACGTGAAACTTTGCGTAGGTGGGCTTTACGCTCACAAACGCCACACTTTCATCTGAACGACTTGATGGTATTGAGACCGTTGTTGCCGAATCTCCCAGATGACCCACGAACTCTGGTGGGCGCGGCAAACTTCTCTTCATCGGCAACGGCAAAGGGCAGCGGTGAGTGCTTTCATTTGGGTCCTGTAAGTCAGCTGAACGGCCAGTTGCTAGAACGGATGAGGACTTCCTATCCGCTGTTGATGACTGCCACCGCGTGGGTATATCACCAATATTAGCATGAGACGCTGCATCCGTTGCATTTATTTTACCTAGGAGTTATAAAAAGGCTGCCGAACCTGTGGCTGCGTAGCCCTAGGGATATTGAGTACAGGTTGTCAGCATCAGCAGTTTGAACTATGAATATTAAGTTAAATGCGCCGAATGCCTACATTTCGCGACAGTTTTTGCAGCGTGCTAGGTCATTAAAATGACATGGGCACGTGGAAGGGCCCGGAACTGCGCCAGTTCTTGCTGTAAACGGGCGTACTCCCCGTAAGTTTTGGAAGCCCTTCCTATTACTATCCACTGCAATACTCGTTTAGTACGCTCACGTTCGTGCAGGAAATCGACTCTCTTCCGTAGTCCTTTATTGCGAATGTTTGTGGATAGATTTTCCTCGTTATACGGGAAGGCTGAAATATGCAGTGTTCACAGCACTACACTTGGCAGACGATGTTTCACGACATGGTCTGTTTGACAGTTTCCCCCCCCCCACACTTTGAAAGTAACCTTAGTAGACTAATGCGCTTGCTTAGGAAACCGTCGCAACTACTGCAACAAATAGTGCGCATACTAGCCGAATTGCAGTGTGTGCCACGCGACGTTTGCCTTCCTGCAGAGTGGACGTGCAAGCAGCAACATGTGGACGATCAACTACCACTGCGGGGTGGTGCATTTTTGAAATTTAAATGTGTTCAAAAAGGTAACCTTGTAAGCTAATTAGTATTAGGAATTTAGTACGTTATGTCTCAGGTGAGATGAATTGGTTTACGTCCAGTTTTGTAACGTTGGAGACTATTTCGATTATCCCAAGGGATGGGAGGACTGAATGAATTCAGTCGTCGAACACCAAGTATTTCAAGTGTAGATTGCAGACTGACATTCACAGCTGTCCTTTGTCGTTCACAGCCTTGACTTCCATCACTAATTGAACAAGATGATGAGAAGTAAGGTATAGCGCGCGGGTGGGCAAATTCTATAAGGAATGGAGAACAAAATTTTGGTGAGCTGCGCGGCAGAGCTCATGCCTGATATTAAAGTCGAAAAAATACAGCAACGAAAATTTCTACACATTATTCATAAATATTTCCAAAATAACCATTCGTCTGCCTCACAGTGTTCGTGAGCTCGATTTTTGTTTCGAAATACTCGGGAGAGGCAAATGCACGGTAAAACAAGTTAACTGTATAAGGGAAACGACAACAGTCGTATAGCGGGTGGTATCATATTAGAAGTAAGGGATAGACTTTAAATACTTATTTGATGTGTAAAGTGCAGCTGCCTATTATTCGCAACGACCATGTATCTCGGCATGTCGATATCAGAAATACATCGACAACGTGGTCAAAGTCAATATCAGGACGATATACACATCGGGACGCGTCGATATCCACGCCATATCTCGTCGACATTGTACAAGGGGAGGTGTCCTGCACAACTGTCGCCTTTCCTGCTCGAGTTTTAGTCTTTTAACCACAGACCAACAGTTTGGATTTCTTTCTCGCATAGTTCCTTTTGCACTTCAGTGCATTCAGCCACTTACTTTTTCTTAATTTTTTGTCTTCTGCAGTTCTTTCTGGAGTTTATCTTATTAACTCTTTCATAAAAAGCTTATTAAAAATTTTAATTTTAATGAGGGAAGGATGAGCGAACGCCCTTTAACCCCTGTCTGGGAAACGTCGTCGATAAGTTAAGAAGTTGGAAAAGAGATTGCTTACACAACTGCGCGTCAAAAGTGGGCGGCATACCGCTGGTCATTAACTACAAATAGTGTAACCTCATGAAACGTCGGTAACTGGTTGTATGGATATATGTGTGGCTGGTAAGCGAGAAACTTGATGTGTGTCGATTTTGCAACGAAATGAAACAGTACAGAGGAAGGGAATAATATATTTGGGCAGGGTGTTCCACGTTGCACCACTTTGTTACTTGAGAAAAGTTCGTATCCATGGATCCTTGCATTACCTGTGCGTCTTTTTAAGGAATGACCACGCAAAGTGGGCGTCCTAGCTTTAGTAAAAAATATCACTGAGTAGAGAGCGACAATCCGGGCCATATATAATGCTGATGTATAGTTTGCGATAACCTCGTAGTTGTCTTTATAAAATATGCAATGCACCAGTAAAACTGATGGAATCCCTATTTAAGTCCTCTAGGCAAAAATACCTTTGCTTATATCCATGTTCGTGACGGTGTGGATATTCCTCGTCCCACCATCGGGGCGCCAACACTTCTCTAACTTCCGCCGTCAGTCTCCTTCTGCTGCAGAAGTAGTCCAGTGACCTTTATTTGCAGCTGCATGCGGCGCTACGCTCTCCACCATTTTTAATACAAGCATGTTACAATCGCCTCCCACCGGATTGATCAGTTAAGTGAGTGACACTATTTCTTTCTTACATTGTTTATCGGTCTTCTGCAGCCCCTTTCTCTATAAGCGGTTTTGCTTTAACGGAGGATGAGAACATTTTTCTACGCCATTTTCCTAAATGCGCTCGTTAACGTATTTGACGGCTCAGCTAAGCATACTTCAAGGAAACCAGACGATCAAGTTTGCTCTACATGACCGAATCTGAGCCATAATCAGTGGCTCCGCGAAGCTAGGCTTTGCCCAGCGGCCACATTCTGGTAACCGCCTCGACCGGCGGGCTAGGCCAGGTGAGGACATCCTCGTGTGCATTTCCACACACGGTAATCTCAGCTCCGCTGGGCGGCCTTGGCATTTCCGAGATGAGGCTCCATTTGGAACGCCGTAGGAGGCCAAAAAATAAGTGAGCCCTTAGGTAAGCGAAAGTTGCTATGTTGCATGTGGTTTCTCTTATTCTGGATTGCTTGCTCTCTGTGTGCTCGCTTGAGTTTGTTCTTATTGAAAGATCGTTGCCGTTCTGCTAACTTTCCTCCGTTGCCTATGTTTTCTCTTATTCTTGATTGCTTGCTCTGTGTGTGCTTGTTTGTCTATGTCCTTACTGTAAGCTAAATGTCGTGCTGTTAAAGTTGTCTACTCACGGTTTATAATTCAGCGACCAGCTAACTTAGAGAGGGATGGAAAAGCTCTGCTTCCCGTCTCTCCAACCTTCCCCCCTCAAGTCCTACGATGTTGTTGTAAGTAGACTCAGTCTAACTCGGTCGCTTTCTCATTAAACAGAAGTCGTGGCCCATAGTGGAGTTCGGCAGCTGTCGGGGATAACTGATCAGCCTTATTAGAGGAGAGCACTGCTCACGCCCGCGAGGGGGAAGCGCCTAGAAAAGGTGCGTTATACAAATGCTGGGGACCCCCGCCGTCTGCAGGCTGACCGTGGCCTCAGACGAAAAACACGGTCGAACCACTCAAACCAGAAATAACACACTCTTTTCCCCCTCCTCCGCCTCCCGCCGACCCACTCGCCAGACTGGTAGGGTAAGTCCACTTACTCTGACAGCCTGGGATGTTCGTTCCCTTTTAGACAATCGGAGAAGAAATCGACTGGACGAAGAACGACGTCTGTGGCTCAGAAACTAGCGGCTACATGGTGGGCATCGCTGCACTTAGCGAAACCCGCTTCTCCAAGCAAGGCCAACTGGGGGAGATGGATGCCGGCTACACCTTCATCTGGAGCGGTCGCCCCAGGGCAGAGCGACGAGACGCGGGTGTCGCCTTTGTCATTCGGAACAACATTGTGGGACGACTATCCTGTCTGTCGCAGGGGACCATCGATCGCCTGATGAGCCTCCGCCTGACTCTCCGGGGAGGCAAATTCGCCACAATCGTCAGCGTCTACGCCCCACCTATGACCAGTCCTGGCGAGGCGAGGAACAAACTCTACGATGACCTGCATGTCCTCCTGGCGACTGTGCCGAAGGAAGATAAGTTGTTTGTCCATGGTGACTTCAATGTCCGCGTCGGCACAGACAAGGAAGCCTGGAGAGAAGTACTGGGTCCCCATGGTCTCGATTGTTTTAACGACAATGGACTACTCCTCCTACGAACCTGCGCAGAACACCGACTTATCTTGACCAAACCTTCCGCCACCCGATGCATGAAGAAGGCCACCTGGATGCACCACCAGTCGCGACAGTGGCACCTGCTGGACTATTTCCTCGTTCGGATGTGAGACCTCCGGGACGTGTAAGTGTCAATGGAGATTCCGGAAGCCGACGAGTGGACCGACAATCGTCTCGTCATCTCCGAGATGCGAATTCGTCTACAGCCTGGCAGGGGACCTCATTGTAATCGACCCACAGTTAAGCTGAACATTGCTCTGTTGTCTTTGCCTGCTTACCATCTCCATTTCAGCAGCAAACTAGCTCAGCGCTTAGAAACCTTCCAGTCGACGCCGCCATCGAGAACGTCGCCGGTGACAACCGGTGGTCCCAACTCCAGGGCACAGTCCGGTCGACGGCCCTGTCTGCTCTCGGTCGCGCACGTCGCCTGACAACGACGCCGTCATCAGCAACCTGCTCGCCTGGGACAATCGCCTGCAGAAAGACTACGTCGACGGCCACAACGACGACAACAAAGCAGCCTTCTACGCAGTCACCGCCTTGTGCAACAGCTTCCGCTCGAGATTCAGGACGCCTGGACGGCTCGCAAAGCCAACGAGATTCAAGGGTACGCGGACCGTAACGAGTTGAAAACTTCTCCGCGATCAAAGCTGTCTAGGGTCCGCCAACCAAAGCAACTGCTCCCCTCCTGAGTGTCGACGGCAGTACCCTACTCACTGAGAAGACACCAACTCTAAAGCAATGGTCCGAGAACTTCAGAGGCGTCCTCAACCGTCCCTCCATCATTTCCGACGTCACAATCACCCGTTTGCCTCAAGTGGAGATCAATGTCGACCTCGACCTCCCGCCCTCTCTCCACGAAATCATCGGAGCCGTGCAGCAGCTCTCTAGCGGGAAAGCGTCCGGATCACACGCGATCCCTGCTGAGATCTACAAGAACGGTGACCTTCAACTCATGGATCACCTGACTACGCTCTTTCAGATGTGACGTTAGGGAGGAATCCTGCGGCATTTCAAGGACGCCACAATCGTGCACCTTTACAAGCGGAAAGGGAACCACCAGCTCTCGGACAACTATCGAGGAATCTCCCCACTGAACATTGCCGGTTAGATCTTCGCTCGCATCCTATACCACCTCAGTCACCGTCTGGAACAGAGTTCTCTGTCGGAGAGCCATTGCGGCTTCCGTCGTCATCGTGGGACCACGGACAAGATCTTTGCCGCCCGTCAACTGCAGGAGAGGTGTCAAGAGATGCGGATTCACCTGTACCTTTGTGGATCTGACAAAAGCCTTCGATACGGTGAATCGTGAAACCGTGGAAAATCACGCAGAAATTCGGCTATCACTCAGATGGTGCGTCAGCTCCACGATAGCATGACAGCGCGAGTAACGGACAATGCAGCTGTCTCAGAAGCCTTCGCTGTGACCAAGGGAATGAAGCAGAGCTGCGTCCTTGCCTCCACCCTCTTAAGTCTCATGTTCACTGCCAGGCTAATGGACGCCTACCGCGATGAACGTCCGGGGATCCGTGTCACCTACAGAAGGGACGGTGAACGGCTAAGCCACCGGAGAATGCATTTTCAATCGCGTATCTCCACAATCACCGGCCATGAACTTTTGTTCGCCGATGACTGCGCCCTCAATACAACTACTAAAGGAGACAGGCAAAGCGACACGGATATCTTCTCCGTCGTCTTCGCGAACTTCGGCCTGATCATCAACACGGAAAAGACGGTGGTCATGCTCCAACCGCCACCTAAAACTGCCCACAATGCGTCGCAAATCAGCGTGAACTGAACCCAACTGAAAGTGGTGGGCAACTTCACGTATATGGGCAGACCCTCTCCCACGGCCCCAAACATGACGATGAAGTGGCTCGCCGGATTTCCAAGGCTAGTTAAGCCCTTGATTGTCTTCAAAACACGGTTTGGAATCGTCACGGTTCTCAACTCAGCACGAAGCCGTACAAGGTCGTCATCCTACCGACGTTGCTGTATGGAGCAGAGACCTGGACGGTGTTCATGAGGCAGGCACACAAACTAAACCACTTCCACCCCGGTTGTCTACATCATATACTGAAGATGAGGTGGCAGGGCCGGATCCCAAACACGGACGTACTGGAGCGGACGGGAATCCACGCTATGCTGAGGGAACTGCAATTTCGCTGGAGCGGCCAACTCGTACGGATTGACGAGGCTACCCAAACGACTCTTCTATGGAGATGTCGCGACGGGTCCACATCGACAAGGTCAAATCCAACGCTACAGGGATACTCTGGAAACCTCCTTAAAGTGCCTGCAACCAACGGCCGTCTGTTTTGTTGATTTTGCCGCCGCGTTCGACTCCGTCCATCACGGGTCCCTAAGGTGGATAATGGCACTAGATGACGTACCACTAAAAATCCTCGCCATGACCAAGGCCTATTATCGCTCCACCACCGCGCGAGTCCTAGTTCGCAATCTTTCTCAACAGTTTTGTTGGTGTCTGGCGTTCGACAGAGTTGTATCCTGTTGTCCATTCTGTCCAACTAAACTACTGACTGGATTCTCGGGAGGGCCCTACACGAAGGTGACGGTGTTGAATTGGTACCTGGACACCGACTGACTGGTTTCGGCTGTGCCGATGATATTGCCTTAGTTGCTTCAAGTTCTAGTGATTTACAGTCTATGGTGCCACAGGGAACGTGATCGCTAAATCGGCCGGTCTATCCATAAACGCCTGGAAGACGAAAGTGTTTTTAAGCTACATCCCTGACCAGGAGAAGGCACCCCTCGGGATTGACGGCTGTCAACTTGAAGAACTAGACAGTCTTAAATACCTTGGATCGAGGCTGATGCCGAATGGTCAGAGTAAGGATGACATTGTCTCTCGAAGTGATGCTGCCCGACGGGTTTTCTCAAGTCTTAGAAAATGCTTAAAGATCCGACGCGACCTCTCCATCGCCACTAAGATTCGCGTATACCGTGCATCTGTCCGGTCTGCCCTCCGTTATGGTTGTAAATGCTGGACTGTGCGCGTGGCGGACGAGCGCAAACAGGAGGTATTTGATCGCCACTGCTTGAGGACCATCCTTCGCATGAATTACACCGACTTCGTCTCAAATGAGACAGTCTGCGCTCGCTGCGACAACATCGCAAAGATAACCCAGGTCATCCAAGAAAGGCGACTGAGGTTGTTTGAGCATGTTCTTTGTCGTCCACCTCAGGAGCTCAGTGTTACTACCCTCGATTTGGCACCGTTACGCCATTGGAGACGTCGGAGAGGGGGGCAACTCAAAACCTGGCTCGACACAGTTCGTCAAGACATGAAGGTGGTTCTTGGACCATCGGTATTCGGTCTCCGTCGTTGGCGAAGAGAATGGGTTCAGCTGTCCGGATCTGCTACCGCAGATTGCCACGTGTGGAGAGGTACAGTTTGGGACATCATCGAGGCCGGCTAGATCAGACATGATCGCAGCCGTACCAATTACAAGTATCTGCATAGTTGTGCATACGTGCTAATTAGCTATGATGTCGTCTGTCAACCACTAAAACCTCGGCGGAAAACCCCCAGGTGCTAGCCAAAGAAATACGATGAGACGAGCTGTACACATACAAATAAAACCTACCCTAGAAGAAGGCGACTGCATAAAAGTGACACTAGCCCAGGTAGGCCTGAAAAACAAGAAATAGACGTGTGCATATGGGCTTATTATGAATGATTTCTTTACAAAATGATCCAAACTATTTGCGAGTCTCTGGCAGCGTTCACATGACTTGACTCGTCTGCAGCGGGGTGACGACTCCCGGAGGGAAGATACAAGGGGCTGCTATCATCCTCAATCCAGGCATACGAGAGCGTGAATCTGGGAACCAAGCCTGGAGTGAAAGGCCCAAGACTGAAAATTTAAAAAGAGGTGTACGTGAGGAAGGAAGTCGACGTAATTCCAATTAAGAAAAGATAGACGTGTAGTTGCATTAGGGACTTTGTACCGTAGGTGCCATATGTAGAGATGTAGACTGCGTCTGACCGCACATAGCGACTGGTGAGGACAATACCAGTCAGAGTGGTCGTGCGCAGCTTCTTTCCAGCGAATCCAAGGATTCTAAGCAGACAAGTTTGCGAGAAAAAATGATGTTGGCTTGCATTTCCAAAAGTAGTAGAACTGGACAGAAATGCAAATGACTACTTGAACCACAGGAAGAGAGAACCACAGTGAAAGCGTGGACGCTGTAGGCCTTTGGAAATGATAGCCGACACTAGCCGATGACTTTTTCACTGAAAATCGACTAGTCAACAGATAATGCATAGACACACTATCTCGTACATATACTGGGAGGGAGTTCAAAGCCACAACCTCTGCGGGAACTATAAAAAAGCATGACAATCCTAGGCAAATGTTAAAATTAAAATGGTCGTTTTCTATAGGTCAATCAGGCATTCTACTAAAAATAATCTTCATGAAGTCGTTGGAGAAGTGCCTAAAACTTTTGCGTGTTCATGTATAATTCTTTGCTCCAATGACTCGAACGCCTGCGAAATGGATACTACACGAGAACAAACTAATCATCTGAATTCATGTCGATCTGCGGTGTTTTACGGAAGCGACGAGGATCAGGCGTTTCTGGTATGTGTGACGCTCAGACCTACATGAATGGCGGACTCTAGGGTTTGACTTTCAATTATGACTGAGCAGATAGTTCCCGAGGAAGTCATTTTCAGGAGCGGCATATGAGGACAGAGCATGCTCAAGGTGAACAGGGAATTTATCTTCTCAAACCCATTAGAACGCAACAAGTCCAACTGGATCGCGCAGCAGAGACCTCTTTACCCCTGTTGCATACACCTTCAGACTCAGGATTACGTGGGATAATGGGTGAAACATCATCGGACGTCATGTTGTAACACCACTGGGACTTGTGATTTTTGGTAGGAAGCCGGCTTGTCAGACTGGTGCCCAGCTACGCTACGTGATTCACGACTGTACATTTGCCAGACGCCTGGATCTGTTTTTCACAACTAGCTCTCACCTAAAGTCGCTCCACTATCAGCCGCCTGCGGACATGTACTCAGTGGCTCGCAGCCGAACTGACAGGAAGGCCATGTCTTCTTTGCGTTCGCATTGTGTCAGTAGCACACTGCCCGGCTGCAAAGGAGACGCTGGCATTGAGGGATTGTCCACATAGCCCAATTGCCCAGTTCACAGAGGACATGTTGTGATGTCAGGATAACCTGACGGCGAGGTCAAAGAAACCACAAGATGTTACGGATTTAAAGCCGTTTTTAGTACTGTGCATCATGAGGTATAAACTCCTCCATCAGCGTAGTTAAGAGGCACTGGGTAGACAATACGGTAGTTAATCCAGATGCAGCCTGAATGCTACATAAAACCTACTAATGATTCCTGATAGAAGTCACCGCAAGAACAGGGAGTACGCTGAAGGCGTCGTGACGATCACGACTTAGAATACAAAAAATGATAGCAGACACGGTAGAGATGACAGATTGAAGGCAATACGATAAAGGAAGGCGAACGACAAAGTCTGAATAGACCAAAGAAAATAATAAATAGACCGGACTATAAAAACATTTGCAAATAGACTGCGCGTTATCATGCTACTCCCACCCTTAAATCCCCTTTCACCCAAGATTCGAAAAGCCCTGAAAGAAGTGTTGTTAAATTGAGGACCTGACTTTTCGAATTAAAAATCAAATAATTGGTTGATTACCAGTACAGCAGCCCTCGGCTTCGGCCCAGCAGGGCATAATTTCTTGGCGAAGGATTCATGTACTTTGAGACAATCGCTGCTTGAAGTTCGCGCATTGCGTTCACAACTCGGTTAAGATACGGCGACCGACGAGGAGTGGGTGGAACCAAAAGTGCTCTCAACAAAGGATGGTCAGCAGTGCAATCATCGCACTTCATCCAATATGGGCCTAGTAAACGAGAAAAATTGAGTGACGGTAAAGGGGGAGCGAGACACCGGTGCTCTTGCTATAACAAGGACTGCTTACCGTTGGGCGAGCTCACACCGTGTGGAAGGTGATTTCCAATTCACAGAACCGTGCTAATCGAATCCCCAGCAACACTTAGCTCTGCGTTTGCCTTAGAAGGTCCAAAAGTTCGTCATCAAATTCTAGGCGGGAGTTGAAATCCAGGCGAGAAGGGGCAAGTGGAGTGGCAGGTTGAGGCCCGACGGGAGAGGCAGAGCTAAATCCGAACGCGAAGGCAAGCCTCGACTTCTTTGAGGAGTAGGGAGACGATGTTTGGATAATTGGAGCAGGTAGACCAAAAGCGGAATCAAAGATGACGGAGGTTGAAGTCGTTGACGGTTTCTGGCAGTTGTAACATTTACGGTGATCAAACTCTTCAGTTCTAGAAGAGGCTAAAGTAGGATCTCTGTTGTCTGTCTCTTGGAATACATCATCCACTACACAAGAGAAATCGCGGTGGTTTAAAAATCCCTGCCCAGGAAAGTCAACCATTGGGGGGGTTTCTGACTCAGTCTTAGCAATTTCCTGGTCCTCGTCGCAAACGGAACCTAGCAGGCGAGTGAGAGCCCCTTGCAGAGTCTCTACCGAAATGAAAGTTCCGGCTGACGGACTGGGAAGGCATAACGGAGCACACGTCATATTGGGGTTCACAAGGGTGGCCCCCGACACGAGTCCGCGCACAAAGTACAGATGGCGTGTAGAGGGAAGGGGAGCCTCAGGTGAGGACGACGAAGGAGCTGCCCCTGGTTCGGATCCGACCACCGGCTTGGATTGGACAACACACACATCTTTAGAGGAGCCGGTCTGCTGTGAAAGGGCTTGACTTGCCTGAGGCAAGAGCTCCGAAAGCGGCTTGTTCAAGTCAAGGCTTCGCAAGCCAGTTGCGTGAAACATGATATGTGTGGCACCCAGGCGATGGGTCTCAATGAGGCGCGCAACGGCAAGTAAATGCCAGGTGACAGAGGACGGCCCGGAGGCAAAAGAACAGGTCTGAAAAGATTCTCGAATGCGTGCGAGGCATGAAGGCCGCGCCAAATTGTGACGTAAAGTCAGTGTGTCGGATATGGATGAGGGTGAGTGCGATGTTGGCAGCATCCTCATTGCCTTCTTGGAAAGAAAATGAGATGGAGAGAAGCGCGAAAAGTGGAAATTCAGAGAGGACAAGTCCCGTCTGTTCACGTGTGCCAAAATGCACTCTCGTAGAGATGCAGAGGTGGGATCAAGCGCATAAACAAAGCGACTTTTTCGTCTCTTTCTAGACATCGGCGGAACAATCGAGGGGTCCGAATCGACAGAAACATGAGCAGGGACCCAGGGCACAGGAACAGGTTTGACACCGAGTGGCACCATGCGCGGATTGTGCGGGTAAAGAGCTAGGCGCTTATGTGTCTCTGCTCGAAGAAGGGCCTGATGCACGGTGCTGCATCGAGCCTTGCTGAGGGAAAAATTGGACTGTTCACGACCCTCTGTGAGCAGCACGACTACACGTCCAGAGCGTTTACGACCGGTTCTTCCGAGTCGCTGAATAAGTCGAATGGGTGATCTGTAAGCGTCGAAACAGACGATAAGGTCAACATCACCAACATCAAGACCCTCCTCGCCGATACACGTGGAGACGAGTATGTTGGAACGACCAGATCGAAAGTCATCGATCACCCGTAGCTGGTCGCGCTGAGTTGTGCCCTTCCTTCCAGGTTTCGGGAAAGCTGTCAGCGAGTTCGACATAACTGCGTCAAGAGGGGCTGCGGCAACGGAGGTGCCGGACCGGGCGCCATGTCCAGAGGAGGACTGACCAACAAAAAGAGCCGGTCGGAGCAAGGGAGCATGCTGCTTGAGCATGTGCATAATTTCAAAAACAGACTCGCGAAACTGGGTAAATACTATAGCCCGAGTTGATTGTTTTGTAGGCGGATCAGTCTCGGTGAAGTGGTTCGTCAGTATCTCACGCAGTTTATCGAGCTTCGGGTGACCTGCAACAAAGGGGCTCTGACTAAGCACCATACCTGGCAAGCTGCCCACTGCTGACTTCTCGAAACCAAACAGGGTGCCCAGGTCGAAAACAAGCTCCTTCGCGCCCGGAACTCGGGCGAGGTCGGTTGTGTGGCCAGAGGGGGAGTTATCACCGGAAAGATTGCTTAGTAAGAAATGATAGAGGGGACGAAGTCCATGTTGAGTAAGTAGTTCGAGAGCGTGAGCCAGACATATGGCCGTGCGGAAGTCCTGGTGAATCATCCCAGTCACCGGAGTATACCGCATAGACAGATCCTGGCTAAAGGCTTCTCTAGCCTTAACGAGGGTAAATTTGGCATAAGACTCGGGATCAATGTCACGGCCGCGTGAATCCAGGACTCCGTGATTATGGAGTCGTTGTAGGGGAGGCAGAGCCAGCTCACATAAACGGTTCTTGACGGAGGCCAGCTGGGGACCCAAGCGAACCACCACGGTTTCCAGCTCCCGCGCGAAGCTGAACTTCCTAATGTCCTCAGAGTCTTCTGTGCGGACCTCTAGGTGAGATATCAGTAGGTTGGCAATGATGGCTTGTGCACCAACCAAATCAGAGGCGGGCGTTGCTGAAAGAGCGACGATGCGGAATTGTCGGTGGTTGTAAGGCGGACTGGTGAGTGTTCGTATTACCTTAATTGAAAGAAACAAATATATTCAGAAGTCGGATACGTCTTACCCACTTTGCATTGAACACTTTCGCTCGGGCGGCAGGTACACCGTTGGCCAACAATGGTCTCCTTCCGTACGGAGAGAGGGAAGAAGTGGTGATCCGTATAGTTTTCGCCCGAAAGATACCCAGGGGTGGGTTCAATAAACAGCCTGTCACGATTTTTTTTACTAGAATAATGAGATCAACCTTGTTTAGTAGAAACGCCAATGAACAAAGAAGCAGTCGGCGGAGATAAACAATTACACGGATCCAACCAGCACTTTTGAGCACAAGCTCCACCGTGTTGATTTTTTCTGGGCGATCGGTTCCAAAGTAAAATAACTACAACCAGTACTGCTCAAAAACACAATTTCTATAAATGTTCGGCCCTCTAAGCACATAAATTACACATAAAGCGCTCCTTGGTAAGTTTCACACCAGCCTATCATTTTTGGCCAAGGACAGTTTCATTTCAGCCGTTGAGGGGATGGCGTGGGAAGAGCTGAAAATGTGAGAATCATTTCGCCCTGTCTGCCTTGCAGCCTGTTATATAAAAACGTGTTAAGACGGTGGTCTGGGCCAAGAAACCAACTAACTGATCGAATCTGTTTTGACAGCTTGGGGAAGGCGTCAAGTGGTAAGCCATAATATATCCGCGGTCAATGCCATTATTTTCTTCCTCGGTGCTTTTCAGCTACTGAGTAGACGAGTTTTTGGACTTGGAAATTAACGTGTCAACTTAAGTGGGTTGCATTTCATAATAAATCAACTAACTACGGATTTGAAACGGTCAAGATTAATCGATTTCTCATTGTTCTCACACGTACAAGTCCCAATTGGAAGAGGAAGTTTCATGGAGGGGAAGAAAGTCAAGACAGTATATGAACCCTGGATACTTCGTAACCATCAGCGGAAAAAATGAACTAACCCACTGACTGGCAAGCGGATAGTTGGCTTTGGAACGGCTATTATTGAGCCAAAACTTCACCAAAAAGATCGTCGGACCACAGGAATATTAGAAAGTCGCCCTCGCCAAGTCAAGCACTGAAAGTAGTAGAAAACGTATGTCGAAACACGGTTTGCTCATCTACTTCCCTGAAAAAGCAGTACCGAAATCAATCGACGATTGGCTAACATCCTTATAATTGTCGCTTGCTCTGCTGTTACTGCCTCTGAAGACTTACAATAAACAAACTGTTCCGGTGCTCTACCTGTTTTCTTTGCTTATACATACACCTGGAACTCAAACTTTCACCTCCATTAGTGAATACCGACAATGACAACGGAGACTGAGATGGCCGGTTCTGACTTATTAGCGTTTGTCAGTCAACTATGACCAACCATACGTTTGGATAATTTGAGCTTCAGACATCATTTTTTGGTCTGTGCAACGGATTGCGAGGGCTCTAGATTGAGGTCAAGGGGCAACCGGACGAAGATGTCCCATAACCTGATCGTTGAACGACCTTCCCACGGTAAACACTCTCCTGTCCACCAACAAACTCGACTTATCAGATGAAATGAGAGCATGCTGCCCCACCATCTCTCAATATGCACTCACTATCCTGTAAAACAAGATACATTGGTCGAACTAGAAAAGGCGAGGGAGAGTCGTTCAGTATGATTCGGAAGAAAGACAAGGACATAAATAACCGCGGTCTAACGTACCAAATTAGATCTGGCCATTGTGTCGACACCGATGAAACTGAGTGTTCATTAAGCCATGTCACTGTGACAGTAATTGATTGACGCTGACGAGGTTGTAAGTCAAGTAATAGAACTCGGGCAAAAAGACTTCGTACAGACCAAGCAAGGACAGCTGTCCAACAGCATGATAGTCGTAGTTCGTTCAGGATAACTTAATAACTAAACATTGTTTCCTCCTCATAGGACATCTTCCCCCGAAATTCAACTTTTAGGGGACGTCCTCTGGTGTACTTATTTACTCGATGACTTACCCGTTCAGCATAATTCCAGTTGTAGGATAGTTCCAAAACGCACAGGAACCAGGCATCGTGTACTCCGGTATCGAATAGGTGAGAAGCGCAGCGAAACCGCATCAAGGGGCTATAGTAAACTGATCCTGAGTACATATGGTGTTATCATGACGAAAAGTTGGTGGCCTCAGGGGTATGCAAACCAAGTGGCTTCCAGGAAAATCAGATGAAATAGGCTTGAGATCCCAGACGTTTGCCCGGGAACTCCCCCGCGAACATGGATTCATGTCGGTCAAAGTAGAGCCCCGTGAAGATATTCTCAGTAGGTCTTCGAACTGATACCACTATATCCAGGAGCTCAGAGGTGTCAGAAAAGGCCGTAATGACTATGCATAAGGCTACCGGCTTTCCGGTCCCGTTAATTAATGAAGTAGTTAATTAGCAATTAGGTCAAAGTATGCAAGACAACATAGCTCGAATGAACAACAGCATGAAAATATGAAAAGGCTGACCTGACAGTATGCGTGATTCCCGGTAGCCTTATGGGCTTCATCGATCACTATACACCTGATAGATGAGGCAGGACAAATCCCAGAGATCAGGTCATTCACGATCACCTGAGGTGTGAGGAAGAAGGCACGGAATTGATCCCACATAACGGCACGCTGGTGCGGCTGTATGATTCCAGTCAATTCAGTAAAAATATCCGGAGACATTCCAGTGAACTCTCGACAGGCCTCCATTTGCTGAGTCACCAGTGGTCGTGTTGGCGCCATAAATACTACCCGACCAGAGGGATACCATCGGAGGAAATTGTGCAACACAACTGCTGCGATGAAGGTTTTTCCTAGGCCCGTAGGGATGCACACTAGACAGTTCTGATAGAGACAACGTTCAGAGATAACAAACTGGTAGTTGCGAATATCATGGGAGGTGGGGTACTGCCAGGTATTTCCAACTGACAAATCGAAGCCCTCAAGGAAATCTGCATCATTAGCTGTTGGTTGATAAGTTATCGAGGGACGATCAGGAAAGGAGAAAACGACAGGAGATTCACTTCGACTGGGTGGATCTATAGTTTCAGCAGTTTGCGCGCCAAATAGCGAGGACGCACCGAGATCGAAAGTGCGGAGCTCTAGTATTTCGGAAAATGAATTGTCGCTCTTGTCCATCAGCTGAAAGCCCCGAAGAAAGAGAGTACCTAGACAAAAAGGAGGACGACATTAAATATGATTAAAAACAAAATTATAAATAATGGTGTCACACACTGAAGCAGCCATCCTGCCAAACGGTCACCAGCAACAAACTAGTTTTTTCAGGCTGTCCCAACAAAAGAGAGGTAAAATAACCTGTAATTATGAGTCTACGTTTTATCGGATGTCACTACTTTGTAACCCGACAATGAAAAAACTCCAAACTGGAGCTGGGCAAGGTGAACCGCCTCCAATTTTCGACAGCAGTAAATGTGAGGGGAAGATGGCGCAACTGTAAAATACGGCTGATAGGACGTAAGTCCGAAAAATTGAGTGTAAGTCTTGAATTCCTTAACACGGGATTAAAAGTAAGGTGGCGTGGGCTTACAAATCGCCATTGCAACCTCCTGAGATTGAAAATATCCAGGACTCCTTATAAGCCTGTGACCAACCGATGGATGCATGTGTTGCGCAGAATGTGTAATTCGTGTGAACATTATATCTTCCATTTGGATTAAATTGGTAAATGAAGTTGACCGTGAATGAATCAGGCAGTATCCAGAACAAACAAGACATATAAGGGGATATGGATATTAGACAGTTATGCCACTGTTCGCAGATGATAGACTCTAGCCCCACGAAGAGGGAATTCTGTAAGTGGGGCACACTCGACATTCATGTCAATCATTAAGTTTCCCTGATTTTCCATAAGTTGGCCTCGCCAAAAACTAACAGCCCGTCCATGCCTGATCACGTTGACGTTTTCTCTCAGTTGGTTGCCTGATACGGAAGGTAGAAAAGCAGGTGCATGCACAACGGGAGTCGACCCACAATCGCACACTTCGAGTCGTCAGTTGCTGAGCCAGTTAGCCCGACCATGGTGAGAAAGGTAAAAGGCGAAAGAAAGCGAAGTAGATGTGGCGTTTAGATTCTCTAATATAAAAAACATGGTTTGAAAACATCACAATTCACTGACCCGCATTTACAGAACACTGGACTGAAAAATAAAATGCAAATGCTTTTTCACCATAAAACCTGGCGTAAGATTTCAAAAACCTCTTCAAATCCTGATACATATGAAGGCAGAGGTCACGCTGCACGTGACGCGCGTAGACGAGCTGCCTAAATTTGTCAGCCATTGCACCCACACGCATCTTCTGGAGACCTAACCTTGACATTCAAGTACGGTGGGTGCGGGAGTT